CTACCTGAAAAGCAAATCAAAAAAGTGTGTATTTTGTTTGTATGTTCGATATTTAAGCATCAATATCGTAGAAAAACCTGTTTTTACGGCTCAAAATGGACTTGCGAATTTCGCGTCTTCACAACTTGAAATATGCTTGCGTTTTTTCAACATTCCTACATAAAAATTAAGTAGTCCCATCCTGTTATATTTACTGCTCATTTAAATTTTATAATAGGCGGCAAGTTACATTGGAGGAGTTCAAAAGAGAAAGCAACACTTCTTAACAGACCACAGGCGTCGTAAATTTTTAATGTGTAGAAATCGGCAAACGTCGTATTGATTCGGGGCCCTCATTGGCCTATGTGAATGCCCACCCTTTCTGAACCAGCAGATGACCACGACCTTTCGCGCTCGTTGTGCAGATAGGACGGCCCGTGACAGTTCAACGAGCAGCGAACCCTGTGTCACGAGGAGTGAAAGTGTACGAATGTGTCGGCGGATTCGGGACGCAAGATCGCTCCTTGCAATTAATGAAGCCTGCCTTAATAGAGGGGGGCAAAGTGTGCCTCTCGTAGGTCAAAACAACCTGTTTGGTGGTTCGTTCCTCACCATCTCGTCTGATTGTGATGCGATTTGAAGGTACCACCTCTTGGGATTTTTTTCTCGGTACTGCCTATCAAATCAACTTCCGAGATCACGCCGCCGATGATGTTCCGTGTTCGATGAGCACACATTGCCAACTTGAGGTCATAGATCGTTTGGCGCTAGATTCATCAAAGCCGTAGCTTGGTACTTCTCATAAAGCTCCACATGAAGGCCGCCTCAGAAGAGCTTTTTGGGCTTTTTTGCTTCATATTTCGCTTCTAGTTTGCCTTGAAGCACTTTGGCAACTAGAAATGAAGAAAGTTTTGAGAGTAGTTTTGATAGATCGTAAGAGCGGAGAACACAAGATCTTGTAAAATGGTCGTATACATTGTTCGCGGAGAGAAATGGGGTAGTACTTCGGTGCGTAGTCTAAAAAAATGTCCGTGCGTCTGCTTTCCCGCACAACACTCGGAGAGCCAATCACCGCAACTTACGGAGGCAGCTCATCGAATGGCGATGCCGAAACATATGTTTAGACCAAAAACGCAGTCTGAGTTGTGACACTAAGCAATGCAAAACGTCAGGCTTGCATTGCTTAATGTCATATATCAGACTGCGTTTTTTGGTCTAAACATATGTTTCGGCATCGTCATTCGCTGAGACGCCTCCGTAAGTTGCGGTGATTGGTTTTCCGAGTGTTGTGCGGGAAAGCGGACGAACGGTCATTTTTTAGAGTGTGGGTGCTTTTAAAGGCCCGATCCTGTGTTTTAGATTTGGAACCCATACATATGAGTAAAAGTCAGTGCCCGGGTGCACCGCCTACCATGGAGCCCAACAAGGGGGTAGAAAATGTGTCATAGCATGAAATGCTTCGCTGGGACAATAACTCTACCAGTGCTGTTCGGGTACTATACCCAAGTGTAGCTGCAGGTACAAGACCTGTTTCCACCCAAGGTTGGTCCTTGCTGCCTAAGAATGTGAAAAAGGAAGGAAAAGAGTGTAGAATAAAATAGAAAGACGTTGAATGAAAAGTGAAAGAACGAAGAAGGGACTAGAAGAAGCGATTGACTGGATAATCCTTGTCGTGCCAAGCCAGGAAGCCCGTCTACGAGAAGTGGCGTCGCTACGAACCCCGCGCCATGGTGGTTTCACCCACCCACGCCTGGCTGAGCGTGACTTAACCCGTACCCGGTGATCCCCAAAGGGTCCAAAGGTACCCCGAGCTCATCTCTACCACCAAGGTCCCCTTTTTTCCCGGACACGGGTTAAGTCACGCTCAGCCAGGCGTGGGTGGGCGAAACCACCATGGCTCGGGGTTCGTAGTGACGCCCCTCACCAAGCACCTACTAAAGCAGGTGCTCCCTACGTGTGGGTATAGTGGCCTACGTGGCTGAGGTCCGCGGTGACGCTAGTCGCCAAGCACGTACTTTCACGTGTGCCCCCTGCGGGTACGTGTGCTTACCGAAAGTATACATTTTTTTTGCAGATCCATGAACGCCTTGGAGCAAGCTCATAAAAATTGGGCAATTCAAGTGCACAAAATAGAAAAAAAAACCTTCCGTGTATGTTTTCATTTAAAATGCTTTCAGAAAGGCACTCCAGATAGATAGTCAGCTTGATCCATCTACAGGCACCGAAATTCAGAACAGATACTACATTCTGACGGGCGTGTTTTGAATTCACTCTCAAATACAATACTCTGCGTAAAAAACTCCACCCACGTATAATGGCCTTCTCAAAACAAACTAGTGTCTGCTCTGTTTCGTGGGCGCCGGCACGTTTGTTTATGCCCATGCAATGAAAAAGTAGGGGGCTGCGGTTTTGGAAGACTCCGTTTTTCCAGAAACCTTCACACATATCGTAGTTCAAGAACGTCAGAGCAAGCATAGTCATGAAGCTCCAAGAACCACATCGATGCAGATGGTGCTGTAACGATCAGAAAAGTTGTTTAATGCGTGGCCCTTTTTTTACAAGGGCCTGCGTTTAAGATTATTATATCCACAGATTTGCAGTCGGGGGCTAGGATTTCGGACACTGGTCTATACAGGCTGAGTAGTAAGTTAGTACTAACGTTTAGCAAGCATAAAATTACTCACTCAGGCTTGAAATTACAATCCTGAATGATTTGGTATAATAGTAAGCCGATCTGCTATGATGAATATATACAATGCTCAGCAAATATTCTGAATATTAGCAATAAGTGCCGTTTCGGGAGTTGCACAAGTACTCCAAGTTGAGCATGCCCACGCTTTGCTTCCTTGAAGCTCACATCTATGCTAACCTTGCCCCCTTATACTCCAGGTAGGACCCAGGGGGAATTGCATGGGCAGCTCAATTTGCGCATGCTCCCGTGGAGCCCACTTTTGATATATTTCTGCCCTCCATCCCCCTCCCCCTTTTCATATCCGAAGTGGATCCCACGGGTGCACTGCATTGGCAGTCTAGATTGGGCATGCCCAAGCGGTGCCTCCCTGAAGCCCGCCTCTAAGCTAAATCTGCACCTGCGATTCCGATGCGGGACCCATGGGGGTATTTTATGGGTAGCCCAAGTTGGGTATGTCCATGATGTGCATTTAGAAGGCCACGTTTCTGCTAACTCTGCCTCCGGATAACCGAGGTGGGACCCACGGTGGTATTGCACGGGCGGTTTAAGTTGGGCATATGTCCACGCCTTGCCACAGTGGCGCCCACATCATTGCTAACTTGGCCACTGAGGAGCCGTGGTGGGACCCACGGGGGATTTACTAAGACCGTCCAAGTTCGGCTTGCTGCACTTTTCTCCAGTAGAGCCCGCACCATTGCTAACGTGGGCTATGCACGGTCCGCGTGCGACCCACGGAGTTTTTACACTGGTAGCATAAGTCAGATATGCCCAAACTTTGCCACTACGGAGCCCCCACCATTGCAAACATGGCTCGCGCAGAGCCTAGGTGGGACGCACGGGGCATTTAGTTATGCAGCTCAGGTCGATAATACCCATATGCTTTGCCACCGTGGAGCCCGCACCATTTCTAACATGGTCCACGGACAGTCTAGGCGGGACCCGCGGCGGTTTTACATGGGCAGCCTAAGTCGGGCACGCCAACGCTTTGCCGCCCTGGAGCCCACACCGTCGCTAATTTGGCTGCCGCAATGCCGAGGTGGGACCCAAAGGGGTTTTACACGCTAGCCCAACTCGGGGACGCCCAAGCTCAGCAGCCATGAGCACACATCATTGCATCATGACCACGTTTAGCCGAGTTGTGTCCCACGGGGTTTTTATATGGACACTCTAATTTCGGCAGGCCCAGGACTGGCCGCCGTGAAGCACACTGCATTGCTAACTTAGGATCGCAAAGCCGAGGATTGACCCACGGGGATTTCACATGCGTAGCCCAACTCAGGAACGCCCACGTTTTGCCGCCGTCGAGGCAGCATCATCGGAACTTCGCTCCCACGGGGGCGAGGTGGGGTCTTCGGGGGTTTTACAAGGAGAGCCTAAGTTGTGCATGCCAACGCTTTGCTGCAGCGGAATTTTCGTAAATTTGGTCCTGCAGAGTCCAGGTGTGAGCCACTGCGGTTTTACATGGGTAGCCCAACTGGTCACGCCCGCGCTTTGCCGCTGTTGAGCCCTCCTATCGCCTTTAAAAGTTCACCAGCTGGCCTGCACGTTCTTAGTTACTTATACCAGGCCACGTGATGTTAAGGCGTTACGTAAGACCACGACTTGATGTCTGAACTTCGCGAAACGTGACGGCGTTGAGTGATGTCAGGTCACATGTTCACGTCGCATGACGTAAGGTCACGTGACGTCACGGCGTCTCGTGACCACGTCGCGTGACGCAAAGACATTTGACTTTATGGTATCACTAGGCAGACCGACCTGACAACATAATGTAATGTGACGTTTACTGCCTTCTAAACAAATTTATTCGATAGCTCCGTTAACGGCTGCATCCCGCAAATTAGAATTTTCAAGATAAGCATTTTTGAACATTTTACTTTTATCAATTTTCGAATGGTATTTCCAAGCATCGTTCGGAATAACCCTGCTCGGAAAGGGAATATCACTTCAGTGACCAGAGATATCATCTCGAAACTACGAATAAAAGGTTCTTGCTAAAAAAAAAAAAGAATTTTATTTTATTGCATTTTGCGCACGAGCATTGCAGGAGGAAAGACAGTTTACATTATGAATTAAACCGGTGCCTGCGCCAGATGAAGGGAATCCAGTTTACAGCCAGTTTACAGTGGCAGAAAAGGTGACAGAAGAGGCCACTTCCACCAGCTGCCCTGCTCACTCACCGTATTTACATTAGCAGTTTCCAACGAGAGGAATCCCGCATATTTGCACGAAGCAAGTAAGATCACAAATGTAGACAAACAAAACTGTACACAGGCATAAAATTGTTTCTTAAATTTTTATTACCTCGAAGGTTGTCCTTCAAAATGTCTTATAGTTCTACAGACCGGTTGTAGAACTGATAGAACTTCGTTACACACTCTTTACGGGCATCCTCGGTAGCACACGTGGCATTTTTGTCATTGTTACTTTCAGCTTGCATAAATTTCGAAATAAGCGAGTCCACAAAGTGCGAGACCTTCACAAAGAGCAAAGGTCTCTCCGGGAAAAAGCAGTCATCTGGCCCGTCAGAAACCACACCAATAAGAGTCCACCGACCGTTATCTTCGTACATCAAGGGTCCTCCGCTGTCTCCCTGAAGATAAAGCATAAGAAATTATTAGACTCAATGCGATTTTTTGTACTAAACAGAACGTTTTGAAATATGTGTTTATGAAACAAAACAAATTTCTCAGCTTGATTTACTAGAACTACTACTGCTAATGTTACTGCGTTTTGCAGGTTTTCAGGGTGTAGCGCATAAGCGTTAATGACTCCAACGTTCTGCTGCAAGAGACAAAAACGCCCAGAACGAACAAAAGAACAGACATCAAGGTGTTGCTTGTAAATTGAAAGCATATATTTGAGAAATATTCTTGTTGACCACAAAGTTCCAACAAGGTTATATCTCCCAATGCTTCTATTGTAAGAGCAGTACATAAATCCGCCGTTATTCACGTAAACTTTAAAAATATTGTCCAGCCTTCATATTTGTAGCCCGAGCACTGCAACTCAACCTTTACGAAGTTAATGCATACTAAGCTGCACAAATGTTGGCTCTCCAGATATTTCCCTTGATAGCAATTAAACGTAAACAAGAGGAAGAAAGATTTTTTTTTTCAGGTAGGCATGTTTCTGTTATTTCCAATTGAGAGCTGTTCTACAGAGTTCTAGAAAAGGAGCTCGTAATTTTATTCGTGTAGAACAGTGTAGAATCTAACTGAACGTACAAGAACATTACCATTTAGAAGGCAAGCAACGCGCACTTCTGGACATACAAGACGTTATCGTACTTCGTTTTATGACAAGTGCGAGTGAAAAAAAGGCTACAACTAATCCTTAGCGCGTGGTTTCAGTACATAACTACAAGTTTCTCTTAGTGACACAATGAGAGTGCGGGCTGAATATTGTGGTCACAAAACTATATTGAGTTAAAATATCGAGAATTTAACACAAACATGTTTCCCAAATGAAGCGCAGCCGAACTCACGAAGAATTCTACAGAGGCAGAAGTATGTTTATCCCGGTGTAATCTGAGGAACTATTTCTTTTAAACTTTCCTTCACAGAGCTGGTTGACGTTGTCAAAAGGAACGCGCGAAGACCACCCATGGCCGACGTTTGTTAAATAGAGTTCATCGAATAGACAGGAGCACAGCATGATCACTTGAACATGGGACCGGTTACCATCGAAACCTTAGCAGAGGTTTGGGTTGAGGTTTATGTCCAACCGCTGATGTGACACGACTAGATAAAAAATTTAGTTTTGGGGTGCATGTGCCTTGTGGGTCTGTAATCTCACAGCAGTATCGGAGAGGGCGTATGATAATTATAGGAGCCGTGTTTCTCTTTCTTCTGCTCAGGAAAACAAACAAAGCGGGCCAGGCGATTGGCTACGGCTGCAACATCACCACAGCCGTACGACACACCGCACGACCAGGTAGACAAGAGGAAGATAACCCGCAAGACGTACCAGACAACGCGGGATATATCCCATATAAGCAAACAGCAAACTGGGAACCAGCGCAGTCAGGCGGAGTGACTGAGCAGAACGTAACATTTTCTTTCTGCTCCTCAGGTGGATGCTTCTTCTTTTTTCTTTCTTCTCGCCCTGCAAACTTCGCTGGACTGCGCTCTCCCGTACTGAGTCACTTCTCTTATCTAGGAAAATGTTTGCTTAGCATGTATGAAAGAAATGACGGATGATAGTCAAGTGATAAAATGCACAAAATGCAAGAGCCTGTACCATATTGGGAAGTGCTCGGGTGTCACATAAAAAGCCGATAAAGCGGTAAATCCGCTGACTTCGCTCTGTGCAACCTGTAAACTGAACACCCAACGTCAAAACAGCAGGGAGATGACCAGATTGCCAAGGACATTGCCGGAACTTCAGATCACGTACAAGCGGCTATATTGGCGCAGAAAGGGAAGAAAACAAAAAGATGACCGCGGTTTTAACTACGATTGAAAACATCGAAAAGAAGCTGAATCTGCAGTATGTGCAACACGACACTTAGATCCAAAAACTTAATTATCAGGAGAAAACCATTGAATATATTAAAAATCAGCGAACTTTCTATCTAAATAGTACGACCATCTGCTAAAAAAGATCGACTCACTAACAACTGTCACGAGCGATCTAAGCAAAATAACAAAGGAGATTTAACTGCTTACATTTGACAATGATGCGCGAAAAAAAGACCTAGAGTGGGCAGTTAAAAATATGAACCAATATGAAGGAAGGAGAAACATTGCCATCCATGAGATTGTCCCAAACGTACACGAAGACCTGCCAACAATTCTGAAAATCTAGCAACGAGGCTAGACCTACCTTTCCAGAGCCAGATGAGGTCGAGGCAATGCACAGGCTAAGAGCGAGACACGGTAAGAATGCTTCGATCATTGTCCGATTCAACAATAGATCGGAAAAAGACCGGTAACTCAGCAAGCGCAAAGCGCTAAAGGCGAATCATATCTTCATCAATGAGAAGTTGACAAAGCGAAAGAAATGGTTGTTCTGGAACGCAAAGGAATGTGCAAGGAAAAGGGGATACAGCTTTGTCTGCATGAGAAATGGAAAGATACTGGTGAGGCAAAGCGAAGGATCGGCAGTGATACGTATCGACAAGGAAGATGACCAGAACAAAATTCGATAAAATGGCCACGTGTAGCACACTTAACGACTGGAATACATATGTAAAAAGTACTGTAGCAGAAGAGGAAAGGAGGAAGAACAGCTCCTGCATGTTGTTCAAATTAACATCAGATGCATTTAAAACATTGGGATGAATCTAGCGTAGTTAGCTCGAAGATATCGATGTAATAATACTGACTGAAGTAAACATTGGGGCAAAAGAACCGTTGCCGTTTCATATAGATAGATAGATTCTATTCAATTTCACTACGTCTAGATGACAGGAAGAAGGAAGAATAGTAGCTCACATAAAAATGATTGGTTTTCGGATCGTGCGGAGGTGTTTATAAATCATGCAGAAGTTCTTGTCTTCACTGTTCGTAGGCCTGAAGCGTCATTTACGATAGCTGCATTCTATGGAGCACCCAGTCGTAAATGAAACTTATTCTACGATGAGTTCATAAAACTCTTGAACACTTTTAATAACGATGACCATGTCGTACTAGCAGGCGATTTCAACATCGATGTTATGTGCCGCAGCAAACCCGGAGTAAAAGAAAATCTTGATATATTGTAAAACTTCGAATTGGAAAATATGATTGACGGTTACACACGTAAAGAATACCTAGGTGTCAAAGTGACCAAAATTTGTATCGAGCATGTAATATTGCGTATTTGTACCGAAAAATTTATAGTGGCAATAATGAAACAAAAAATAGCAGATCACTACTTTGTCGCTCTAAAATTATGCGTCAGGCCGAAACTAAAAGCTCGCCGGGAAAACGATTCAAGGAAATTCTAGATCATAGAAAATAGACAGCAATAATAAAATATATAACTGGAGCGCTTTGCTGCACCTAGACCACCTAAACCTTTTCAAAAGAGTGACAGCCATATTCAAAGGAATATATGAGAGCTCTATTAAAACAATCAGACTTGAACAGCGGAAGCCGGGAGCTGTCTGGATTAACGACGAAATACTAGAAGTAAGTTATAAAAAAAAAATTGATCTTGGAATAGAAGTAAGCAAAACTCCAAAGATGCAACACTAAACGAAGAGTCCAGGCAGGTACGGTATAGAGTGATGGAGAAGATTCGACTACCAAAAGAGGTATCCAATGTGACACAACTCCAGAATTGTAGGAAAAGCCCAAGGAAAACGCGGAAAATTGTGAATCAAATAATGGGAAAACCACTTTAAGACAGGAGTGAGGAATGTATAAAAAAAAACGTTGGAGTCACCGATCACTATACTCTCAGTGACAATTTCAATAACAACTTCACTAAAGCTTTACAAGATTTGTGCGAGCCAGCAAACAATACACAGACACTGGAAAGCCACTGTCGAATGTACATTACGGCATAGCTATACCACAAACGACAAATACCGACAGAGAAAAGATAATTAACAGTATGACAATCTTAAAACATGGCGGGATATGATCAACTAAGATCAGGAGACATCAAAGTGAACTATAACTACTTAAAATATGTTTTGCTGGCGGTAATAGATGGAACATAGAAGACAGAATTATACCCGATAACCTTAAGGTTGCGATAGTCCGACCTGTTTATAAAAAAGGAGGGGAAAATGAATTAGGCAGCTACAGGCCCACCGCACTAATGTCCTTCACCTCGCAGATAAAGGAAAGGGTTGTTTTAAAAATTATGACCCACTTTTGTGAGCCATATTCACTTATTAGCAACACCCCACCACGTAAGGCTTTCGGCAACAATTTTGTACTACGCTTTTAACTGAAGCCATGACATATTACGTGAACTAAACAAATAGATTCTAATAATGTAGTACTTCCATCAAATAATGTAGTACTTGACCCGACAACGGCATTTGACAATTGACCATTCCATATTACTACATAACATAGAAAACCTTGGCTTTCAGTGGAACTTCCTAGATTTGTTTAAATATTACTTTTTCAACCGGACGCAACGAGTTAGAAAAGAAAAATGCTTCAGTGACACTGTGCACACAAATTCCGGTGTGGCTCAGGGATCTGTTTTTGACCCTATGCTTTTAACATCTACATGAACGGTTTTACTTAACTCCCTCTAAAATCTAACCTCTATGAATACGCTGACGATACAGCATTAGTCCTAGCTAATAAAAATTATGATGATGCAGTCAAAAGCATGCAAAGTGACTTTAATATATAATGAACTAGCTTTCTGAAAACTCTATATTTGACAACAATGACAAAACACCACTAATGTGCTTTCGAACGCCCCAAAGGTGTATTATCCTTACAAATCTCATCTTTTTACATACAACTCAATGCACTCAGTGCAGTTGTACGCCAATTTCATATACCACAAACACAAAATATATAGGATGTATTTCGACAAGCATCTGTCGTTGAATTCCCATGAAGATCATCTAATAAATCGCTTACGAACAATATCATTCTAATTATGCAGACTGCGGAAGCCCGCGGACATCTGGCTGAGACGACTAATTTAGCAAATGTTAGCAGAGTCAAAACTAAGATATGAAATTCCGATCTATGCATCCTGACTTCGAAAAACGAAGATAAATAAGTTAGGAAAAGGATGGTGCGGAACATCGCGTATGGAGCCAAACCTGAAAATATAGTGTTTTAAGATCACCTGTAAGAACTTGACCTATTGACAGTAAATGAACTGCGCAAATTTGTCATTCTAACGAATCATTGCTTCACATCCGAGTTCAAAATGAACACCATCAAAAAAGGCAACTAAGAAACACGGAAAAGTTTCAGATACAAACAATATAGACTAACTATGGAACTAGGCTCCACAAAGTTTATGTGCCTGCATATGTCAACCAGCTTCCTTAAAAATTTCACACCCTCCACTTCTTAAAATCTGTAAAAAAAGGAAACGAGGAAATCGTGTATACAGAAAACTGAAGGTTAACTAGTCGTCCTGCCGAGCTTTTTTTTTTTAAATTTTCTCCTGCGTACCTTGGCCGAGTACAAGATTAACAATGAGGAGGAAGCTTCATGTGTTCTCCAATTCCCTGAGTACAGTATTACAATTACTTGTAGAATTCCACCAGATACCTTGACAAAGCGCGTTGGTTTATTAGTTGCCAATGTGTGTCTTCCCCTGTACACATCATCCTCGCTTTTGTCGTCTGTTGGAATCATGACTGTTCTTCTGTTGTTTGTGAGTATTTGGCAGATTGGTCACACTGCAACTTCCCTAGTTGTGTGTACGTGATATCTAAATTGTAACGAATATATTTTGTCGATATTTTTCGTTTCTTTTGTGGCTCAACACTGAATATATGTTTGAAGAAACTGTTTGCAGGATTGTGATAACGGAGTACCCGCGTAAAACATAGTTTGAATGGACTACCCGTTTTCACGCACAAACGGAGAAGTGCATCTGTGAGACTTTTTTTTTTGTTCCTTGATTTGGATCTGTGTATAAGGTGATATTATTATTATTACCTAAATGTAGAGTGCATCTTTGCTTTTGAAGCTGATTGACAGCGCCACTAACGACAGCGTCCGCGTTGCATCGTATAGTGAACCGCTACCCACCCAGGCCTCATTTAATGCTCCCCAGGCGAGGCCCCGTCTGCACCCTCCCATGGTTATCGTTTTCGATTTCGCTCTGGCGTACCCGCGTCCAGCGTTGCTCTGCGTGTATTCTCATGTCAGTCGACCCGCAGCAGTTCTCAAAGCTCGGGCTCAATCGCGTGTCGCGAACAATACTCCGCCGTGTTTTCCTGAGCCGGAATATCCGTCTACACGGCGTTTGTTTGTTCTGCGGTCTGAATATCACGACTGGACGATATTCCTCACTGCCGGTGATTAATTATATCTATAGTAAAAAGTATTTGTCCCTCGCCGGCGGATTGAATATACGTGCAGGAATATAGGTGATCGTGGCGGGTTTCACGTGCGCAAGGAGGAGATATGTCTTTTCGATCTTTAGATCTCGTTAAGAAACGCGGCGCCGAATATTGCCCCGAACGTGTCCTTTCGTTGAGTAGAAAGCATTAATGTGCAACCAAGGTGCTATATCATGTTGAGAACGTAGTTTAGTAACACAAGCAAATTGGAGACACCTCAGATTAGTATACGTATCATTCAAAACTTCTAGACAAATCGAGATGCTTGAGACAAACTTAGTTTTTTACCAGATGAACAGAGCGGCATTTATCTCCAAAGTCATGCAATGCATGGGATACAATATTTAAGATACACTCGTCGCAATTTGATAAGGAAACTTTAAAGCCTTTCGTGAGAAAAAGAGAATCAAGGTTGAATCATTTCCTCCCTAAAGTTAGAGAAAAAAGGAATTGGTGTATAAGTCTTGTGACAAATATTTCAGTGCTAAATTTATCGGGGAAACAAATTTTTTCCTTCTAGATTTAGCGGGAAAGCTAAATCACCGTAAAGACCACCTGACAGGTCACGTGATGTAAGTTTCTTTAAATTTGGAATTACTTTAAATCGGTTTTTAAATCAAGGGACATCAATTTTGTCGCCATATTTAACGAAAAAACTAAATTGGTGCTCAGGTAACGTGATTCTGATTGTCCTGCTCAATTTAGTCCGGGAACCGATTTTCTAACGTGAGAGGGCAGGCAACGTCAATTTCCTCGTTAAACAGCGGTGAAATAATGACACGGACGGACGGATAATCGGCTGGACAAACATTTAGGATTAAAGGGTTACACTAAAATGAATTGCATGCTTTATGAACTTAGATGCAAGAAGAAATAAGATCTATTATATGATGTTTGAGTGTTATAGGAAGCACAATTCAGGGTTTTCTTTACTTACATTACATACTCCTCCAGTCGTGCAAATGATGTAGCCAGGAACTTGGCTTTTCATTTGGACAGAGCATTGCTCCTGATCCATGAAATCCAATTTTCGTTCCATCAGTGTGTTTGCGTCTCGAGATATGAGCAAGTTTGTTTCTTCCGTTTGTGGTTCGACGCTAGTTACTTCACTTGATGTTTTGTTTATTGGTTTCCGAATGTCAAGGTCGTCTATTTCTTCTTCGTCTTCATAATATTCATAATACTCTGGGAGTAAAACAAATATTTATTTGAAATATTAATAAAGACCAGACGAAGTTTTGTACATTCCAGGACATTATTGGTCATGCCAGCATGTGTGAAACACCAACCGCCGTCTGATCGACGTACAAGCTCTATGTCACAAACCGCATCATGAAAGTTTTTTTTAATTACCAGTTTAATATATAAATTATGAAATCATTCAAAGTTGCGGAGTTGTGTTTTATAATGATTCGCGTCTGTAGAAAATATTAAAATCAGGCCATTTACCATATATTCCTCCCCAGCCAGCAGCATAGGGTGTACTTCTTGGAGGGGGATCGACACAGGTTTTCGGAAGGCAGATTGGCTGAATATAGTCCGTATATTTGACTTTCGTTTTTAATTTTACAACAGCAATGTCTTTCTGTAAAGGTAATATAGAAAAAACCATGATGCACAACATTTGAAGATGTTGGGACCGTTGCTCTTTACGTACCATGAAAAGGCAACAGTTGTCTTGAATAGGGGTGCAGATGCTTTCAACTTCAACACAGATCACCTGGCTTTCAGGATTCTCATGGTATTCTTCATCTAATTTTGGAGATACTTCCGGATTTCTGGTTTTCGTTTCTCGTATATTAGAATCTTGTGGAGTGTTACATTGTGAAACATTGGTTCTGAGTGTGGTTCCAAGACGAAGTGAAAACTCATCAGCGTCTTGATTTCTTCAATTAGGAAGGAAAAGCAGAGACAGTTACAGTTACCGAATTCAGTAAATTTTATATTTAGAAATAATATTCAAATATCATTAATATACTTGAGATACAACTTGCGTCCTACCCCTTTAACAGGCATAATATCGTTTATTGGCCTCAAGTTAGAAATTCATATTGGAGTTTAAAGGCTACTTTTCTCACCGCGTGTAATCTGAATGCCTAACACACGCTAATTGTTTAAACTTTAAAGAAAATTGGATTATTGGGTGTCTTGTCTAATTATGTGCCGCCATCGAATGCGAATTTTACGGTGCAAAAAGAAAAAACGCGTGTGCTGCTTCGTGCCTCAAACCGCACTGCACCGGGACTGGCTGAATAACCCTTCCAACTAACAAAGAACGGACTGGGAATATCCGAGATAGCAACTAAGTGTTATATGAAAACAAATCAAAATACATATTTACATTAAATCGGAAAACAAAAATCACTTACCGAAAACAATGTGCTGCCGTTACCACATATTCCTCGGCAATTAAGACCCCTCCGCAGAGTAAGGTATCGTTTGAATTATAGATTGCGACCATCCAGGGCCAGTGATGCGGGGGAGCCTCGGTACCATTAATGATTCTTGCAGAAATATGTTCCGATTTCTGGCGTTTTCCGCACTCATACTGCGTATCCTTTTCGTCTTCGCGTGCTAGACTTGCAGATTCTGTAATCATTCAGTTAGCGAGTGGATATTCAAACACAAGTTGCGTTGGAATTTGTTATTGCAAAAAGTGAATATATGCACGACTTCTATATTCGATTTTGGAATCCACAATTTTGTTTTCTACAAATAAGCAACATCGTTGCAGAGTCTATCCTACCTGAGATGTAGCTGATATTGTTTTGGGTTTACGGTCGCAAAGTGTCAGGATGAAGAAGCAGGGAGTCATTTCCTGTAATGGACTCAAACTCATCGCGAAACAGGGACTGTTGTTCTTTGGGGACCGAGAGAATTCTATTTCTACAGTCTAACAAAAAGCTAGTTGTAGCTGCATCTATTGCCATTACTGCCTTTCCACTAGCTGTTTCACCTCAGATATTCCACGGGCAGTAAATGCGGTTGCCATACAAGTTAAGCAGATCGAGAAAGTGAACATTAGATAGTTTTAGTAGATCATTCCAATGACTTCGACAGCTATGCCCGATAAACCGTCGCCGTTTTTCCCCAAGCATCTTATCGATATCAGGGGTATTGGAGGTATGGGATCGATCATCGAAAGCTCTCTATTACAACTTTATGTGCCTACGCAGTCAATTCTATAGACCTTTCCAGCGACATTCTCGAATGAAGTGGTTTACACCGCGTGTTTTTGGGTTGGAGAAAGTACGCGTTTGTGGGCCGACTGCGCTAGGCTTTGAGTTCTTCAAAAAGCAGTAGCGGCCTGCGTAAACGCAATTCCGAACACTGGTCGTGGCTAAATTGATCAATGCTATTTAATCTTTTGATTCTTGTAGCGAATACAATTTCTCCATGCTTAAAAAAAAAGCAATGTACAAGTTCTTGAAAAAAAACAAAACAAATGAAAGCTATTTTTGGTGGCCCCGTAGTCGACAGAACAAAATCAAAGACAGGTGGAATGTTTGTTGCATTTTATGCAGATTTTTCCGAAAACCTGCACTCAGCCGTGTCAAACTTCAAGGCTATTAACTGTCGAAAATATTGGTACACTCAAGAAAGCTGAAAGGCATGGGCATTCCTCGCTCACAACATGAAATCGATCAAGTCTCATCGATCAATTAACATATTGCACGTACCGTACGGTGCTGCGTGATCCGCAAAAAAGGTTTATTCGAGAAATATGTCAGCTAACACAGCATATGCAATATATAGTGTCGACGAAGAGTCCCTTCACGACGTGCGAAGGAAATCCGTTTATTCTAGGGAATGTTAGGAAAAGTGCTGCTTATTTTTTACGACATTAAAAAAAACGAATTTGTTTGTTCCGCCATTTACCCTATACCCAACAGCTATTTTTTGCGAAGAAAGGGAACATAGGTAGGAAGACTTTCCGAAGATTATCTCTACTGAATCAATCATCCAAGAACATCGAATGGCCAGCGTCGCGAACTGCTTGATGCTCGCTTTCTTCGTCGGCATGCTGCGAAGTCCGAGCCGTCGACGAGAACTGGTATTTTCTGGTTCTCACAGAGGAATATAATACAAAAAGGGTAAGCATCCTGAACAGACAAATAAATCAAAGCTTTCAAAAACGTCCGGCAAACTCCTAAAAAACAATACCGGTGGGTAGTCGCGCTGACCGGGTTTCAGCAGCTTAGCAGGTTCAGAGAAATTTCTGGCTGACAGGTTTCGTCCGGGTCGCAAAATGGGGAGGACGCAGACTCTTTGCAAGAGCGTGGTTCCGCAAGCTACTTGAACGCCGATCGAAGCGGCGCACGAAAACTCTTCAGTTCTAAAACACCACGAAAATGATGGGCTATACTCGGGGACGTCTCTCCGTGGCAATGAGAGAAAGCTATCAGAGGGGCGGGGGCAGAACTAACGTTTGTATAACCGCGCCAAGTAGGACCCGACTTCCTTGGTTTTGGTTTCATTTTGGGTTAAGGTGGCGATGCAGGCGAGTTGGTTCATGACTTGAGAAATTGGGAGCAGCGCGCAAAAAAGACAAGGACAACGAGAGTAGAACACAGGACAAGCGCTGATTATCAACTGAAATTTTATTCAAAAAGGCTCAAACAAAAAAAACACCACAAAACCAACCAACGCCTAAATAACCAAAGCCGTGTCGCTCACCATGCATCTCTAAAATCGATCTCTTTTTTGTGAGGGTAAACCAAAGGCTGGCTGACGCAGTGCCCCGAGTCAGCTTTTTCTATTGCATGCGCCTCCAGCACCTCTCTTTGCACTTTTGTTCACCCCCTGCCAATGATTATGGTATCTTTGAAGACGGGGTGACAGAAGCAGTCTCTGCAGTGTACGTATACGTGTCCTCCTGTCATTGAGCGCAGGAAAAGGGCATTGTCACGCATTCTCTCATTCACCCAGCGTCCCGATTGTCGTATATAAACTCGGCCGCATGACAATGGGATTTTGTAGATGACACCCACCACGCAACCCACGTACATGTTGACATGTTTGACCGTACATGACCTCTTGTTATTGTTTGCCTGGTTTACGCGTGGGGAAAGTTGTGCTAATTTGCGAGGCGCCGAAAAAATCATTCGCATTGAACCGGTTATCCACTTTTTCTAAATTATGTGGAACCTTACGTACAAATGGGATAACCTGAGGCCTTTGTTTAGGCTTTACTTTTGGTTTCTGAGAACCATTCTTGACTTTTTTCAAGAGTTTCTGAGAGACACCAAGCAAAACAGACAGAGGAAATCCTGCTCCTAAAAGCCGCTTGACCTGAGCTTCATAGTTGTCAAGCATGGCATGGTGACAAGACCTGTACAGTGAAGCTTGGAGGCATGACGTGGCGATGTTTCATTTCACAAGTTTAGAATCGGCTGAATCGTATGGCACGATTTCCTTATTGATTCGCGGGTTGTAACGCCAACACGCACGTTGCCCAGTGAATTGCCACCGTAAATCCAAAAACCGCAAATTCTGACCGTCTTGCAGTTCGTAGGTGAACTTTAGGCCTGCAGAGCAGCGCTTAAAAACGGTCATTACATCATCTACAACCTTTTGCAATGACAATTTGCCGACAGCCCTTAAGAACACCAGATAATCGTCAAGATATCTGTATACCTTGGACACCTGTTGACACAATGCCGTTTCCATAGAGTAGACCTATCAAACTTCGCTAGGTAAATGTCGCATAGCACCGGAGCAACGCTCGAGCCAATGAAAATGCCATCTCTCTGTACATAGTAGCTTCCGTCGAAGGGAACTAAGGTGGACTGCAAGTAAAACATTAGGAGTTCCAAAAAACCGTCAATGCCCACTCCACTGGAATTCTGGAAGGCAACAACACCCTTTTCTTCAATGCACTCGCGCACCGCCAGGAACAAGTCTTTGTGGGGCACAGAGTAAAAGAGTTCTTCCACATCGACTGAAAACGCCATCGAGTGGTCGGGAACATCCTTACTAAAGGACTCAATGAGGGACTGCGAAGTTTTGACAAGGAAGGGATCATGAGCTTTTGAGCACTCAGATGCCTATGCAGGTAGCAGCTGACCATTTTTTGCCAAGATCCTGTCTACGTGACAATGGCCCGAAGAGGCGTAAGACAGGTTACTTGGAGGTGTTCTTTTCGGCAAAGACCCATAAACCTTGCACGCCTCTTAGGGCCATTGTCACGGAGAAAGGGTCACGGACAAAGCATCTGAGTGCTCCAGAGCTTCATGCTCTACCAGCAGATCCCAGGGATCGCGGGCGCAATACGCACTCCTGCTCATTTAGGCCGGTGATCTCGCTGCCGGTATACGGATGTAATGAAGGGTCCCGTTTCCCTCTGGCTCACTTATGCGTACACATTGCACATACATTTCCTTGTTTGCTGTGACGACGTCTGGTGGCCAAACATTGTGAAGAACAAAGGGCGAGCTCTCAGAAGGCACCGACGAGACACCATACCGATGGCACCCAACGATCGAAGAACACGAAAAAGACACCGTGTTTGCTTTGCATGGAACTAGGAGACCTCCGGTGAACTTAAAACTAAGAAAACCCGAAAAAGCTAAAAAATAAATATTATACCCTTGGCTCTTCCTGAACAATGTTATTGTTACATATGAGAATTAGTGCAAAAATGACAATTCTCTTTCTCTCTCTCTCCCTCTCTTTCTCTCTCTCTCTCTCTCTATATATATATATATATATATATAGAAATATATATGTATATATTATTTTGTTAAGTTACGCCCAACAAAAATATTTCCTTATAACTATATTCAGTCGTGTATTAAAACCATAGAGTTAATATAAATTACGCTAGAGGTTCAACTGGCGCTAGTGTGCTGCTGCAAATTGAAGCAGACAGCAACCAGTCCGAAATTGACTTTCGGTAATGCATTTCTATGGGAAAAAGTGAGTGCATTTTCTCTCTGCGCTCGATTATAAGAGCAAAAATCACGAATAATTCGTACGCACTGGGCGCATTAGAACATTTGTGAGTCACGCAGACGGAATATTTGGTCAGTTACGGCATTTTTTTTTTAAATTTGCGGCATGAAAAACGGTGCTAAAACTGCTTCGTACATGTAATTTTGTGCACTGTCGGACACTGTTAGGTGGAACACGGCGTCGGCGATTTCTAGCTTGGGGGATACATGTGTCAAACGAACGAAAGACATCTGGGAAACTATGAGAGACGGTAAGAACTACGCAGTAACACTGAATAAGTGACTGCTTGTGCATGCAGACGATCAAAATAAATTGAAAGCCACGTAATATAGTTTGATTTCCAATAAATAAGTACTGCTAGTTTTATTCTTTCTGCTCATGAATATGTGCGAAGATGCTTGTTCTGGGTTCCAATCATCACCCGCACGCTCCAAATCTTTGCAGAAGGGAGAAGCCAGAAAACAGGTGCCCGATAAAAACTGCCCGACATAGAAAATAATGAAAATACACACCTTTTGAAGCCCACGTAATTTATTTTTTTACGTTCGAAAGTTTTTTTTAACCGATCGTAAAGATGCGCACGACGGAGTCATTTTCATATAATGACACGACGGGCATAGTAGCAATATATGAGC